AACTAACGAAAGATTGTTATCACTTATGCCATGAAGCTTCTGAAGGAGAATCGTTGAATTATTAGCAATCAAGTCCTCTCGATTGACGGCTTGTAAACCAAAGCGTGAAGGCAATACATCTTTTTCAAAGGCACTTAACACAGACTTTGAAAATTCAGAGACTTGCTGATGACGATCAAGGCCGAGAACAGAACAGATTATCTCATTTGAGTTTCCTGTTCGTAATCTGAACAAAAAAACAACAACAGCTTGCGTAACAGTCCGATTGTCGGTATTCCTCAACGAAACCATCATTTCTCGCAATTCTATTAGTTGTTCCCAATTCAATCCAGTAAACGTACGAATCCTCTCTTCAGAGATTGAAAAATCTCCGATTCTATCGTGTAATTCTCTGTCGGAAGTTAAACTCAAAGATTTAAATAGTTTTGTTATATCTGCAGCTGTTGTGGTAGTTGAATTAGAAACTACTTTTAAATTAATTAACTCATCTGAATAAAATCTTTTCTTTATTAAGTGTTTTCGGCAACATCTATTACCCTCTGGTATGAATATATCTCTTTCAACAAAAGCTTGTTTTCTTGCATCGAAAGGAACAATAACAATATTTGTTTTGCTTTTGCATAAACAACAGTAATCATGAGTAGAAACTACTCTTTTTAAAGGTAACTCAATAGTATCTTTTGCTTTTTCAATAACTTTTTTCTTTGGTGGAACATAAACTGTATCATTATGTGGTTGCGATAATGTCTCTGAAGAAGATGTTGACCCTTGACTGTCGATTTGCAAAGTATTTACATTTTGTGGTTGATCGATTTTTCTGCGTTTTGCTTTGGCGAAGCGGGCAGAACCACTGCATTTCTGACAAAGTATGTCTCCCATTACAAGTGTCACAGCCAAATAATCGGACAAAGTATAAGCTTCATCATCTGTGTCAACAGTTTGTTTGGGTCCCACTAATTTTTTCTCTGGTAAACCGCAGCAAGCGCATTTTTTACTAATACCTGAGACTGACATAGTGACATTCTGGAAAAAATACATTGGAGTTCATCAATAATGTCATTATTTGGAAGAGAAAATTTTGAAATGTTAAATACATTTGGCAATGTTTGTAAAAAAGTAATTATAATTGATTTTTTTCGTTTTTTAGATATTTTTTATTTTTAAGGAACTTTTATTTTAATTTTATCAGTTGCAGTATTAGCTTGTGAGATAGAATAGTTTATTTAGAAAAAAACACAAAAAAATTCTAAAGAACAATTGATCTAATGTGATAATAAAGAGTAATAACGTGGGGATAAAGTGTTTACTTCATTGGCAATATATGTTAAGTAAAGATTTGATTTTATGCATATAGATATATTAGAAATCACTAAATGTTTGGTTCTAAAATGAACTCACTGTTTTATAATAAAATGTTATTATTATTTTCAATCCAGCAAAAATAATTCCAATTTTCAAGTATTCAAATCACACTCATTATTTAAAAATTTTTGTAATTATATGAACTCTTTCGTTGTGAAAAACAAAAATTATTACATAATTTGAAATAATGCAGAACATTATAATTAAAAACATTAATGAATAATTTATTTTATGAATGTAAGAAAATCATACGCCAACTAATGTCAGGTCATAATCTTTTTTAAATGTTCGTTGAATGATAGAAAAAATTCAGAGTCATTTCATTCTGTTGGAGTGAATAAAAATCGTTATTTTCTGTAACTCTACTTAATTAATACACTATTTATTTTTAAATCAAACCATTAATCACTATTTTTTAATGCAATACTAATATTTTTGTTTTAGAAGCACTTCAACCGCATTAGATATTTGTATGCCACTAACCGACTTTGTAAATCCACTACGTTACAATGTTAATATGAACAAATATAACAATGTAGATTGATCTTTTCAGGAACCTCCGATAGAATATTTAACGATGAAAAAGACATGCTCAGCAAATCGTTAGCTTTGAATTTATTTTCATTGGCAAGTGATTCGACTATTGACATTGATTTACCTCTGATCACGCTAGATCAATGCATTTGCAAAAAAAATGTCGATGTCAATAATCGATTCATGTGATTTAGAATTAGGAAGTTTTTTCTGGTTTGTTTTAAATAAACTTTTTTCCATGTCGTAAGCAATACCGTAACTAATAAAATTAAAACGAAAGTTCCGTAAATATAAAAAATTACCAAAAATAAGAAAAAAATTAATTTTAATTATTATGTTTCCGAGACGGAAATATCACTTTCGGCATATAGGGCACGGCTTGGTGTGATGGGAAAAGTGATAATAACTTGACCATTGCTTGAAAGATTTTGAGCAAAATAAGTTGGCGTATAAGAACTAAACCAGAAGTATCTAAAATTGTAAACATTATATTATATCACATATATTTGACACACATGCACACACTTACTCATGTTTTGTAAAAATAATGATTTAATGCATATGAGATTGTAACCGTGAAGTTAATAAAACATACATACCTGTGGAAAAAACAATTTCTATTTCAGAAATAGTCAAATATCCTGTATTATAGCCCCACCTGCGCAATCTATTTTTACCCTACAGTATTCAAGTAAAAAAGCTTACTATAAATGCCAATCAAGTAAAATAATCGATAATACAACATTAAACGCCTTGTAACTATGATTGACGGTGTTATTGAGGTCTTATATATTATAAAAAAATGTGATACACTTTTTCGATGTATTTTTTCACGTAAAATACGATAGTGCTACTGAGTTTTTTCATAAAACTCAATCAAAGACGCGAAAAACTTGATTTTTTTCTAGTTTTTAACTTCTAGCGCTCATGAGGTCAATTTTATGAAAAAACCAATAGCACCATCGTATTCTACGGAAAAAAATACATCGAAAACATGTATCACATGTTCGAAAACAATCTTGAGTTGACCTTGAATCGAAAAGGAATAAATATTTACACTGCCAGTGGAGCCGATCGGCATGGCCGATGCTATCATGTACTGAATTTGTGAAGGATTTTGATTTTTTCCATACATGTGATACATGTTTTCGATGTATTTTTTTCCGCAGAATTTGATGGTGCTATTTGTTTCATCATAGATTTAACCTACAAAGCGCTAGGGGAGAAAAACTAGGTTTTTTGTTGATTTTTATTTTTTTTAAGGTCGTTCCACCACTTTTAAAAATCTGAAAAAAATCAGGAACATTTTTCAGTCAAAAATACACAACATATTTTTTTTCTAGCAAAGAGTCGGTCTTCATTTTCGAAATATTAAATTTTAAAATTTTTGAACGGCTCTAAAAATTTGAATTTCGCGCCAAAAATTTTTTGAGCGCGGCCATTTTATAGGGCTTTAAAAACCCTACAATTTAAAACAAGAAAGATTTTTCTAGCTCAAAAACTGACCGAGATTTGGTCAAAAAACCAAAAATAACAAAACTGGGCCTTATAGGGACCTGTATGGGTTTAGGGGTCTGAAAATCTGGGAATCCTAGTCATTTTTCATGCTGAACATGGGGGTATAATTATTTTCCCGGATGACTCAAAGGCATTTTTGACCATTTTACCCTGCTAGACCCTTTGGAAAAATTATTTCGCACAATTGCGTAAACAAATCGAAGAGAACTATCCTGCAAAAATAGGCGGGAAAATCTGTGTATGAATATGCTGATTTTTGCACAGGCTAGCATTCACTCCTAGCCTTGCAAAGTGAGCGCATGAGATTGAATAAACTTGGCTAATACCTAAGTTCTTTCTCTCAAGTGATTAAATGAGCAAATCCTCTTTTTTTCTTATTGTATTTTCTTGCTCGACTCATAGAACACTTCGCGCTATGAGAAACTTGGGCTGAATTACATCCTTTTATAAGGAAGACTTAAGCTCTGCTTGTGGAACACTTCGCACCATAAGAAACTAGGGTAATGTCTATCTGTCCTTGAAATCTCACTCATATAATCATATGTATTATTTATTATTGTATTTCAAAGTAATAGTTAGAACCATTTTGAAAAATGAAACATATTCTTACTCATTATTGCGACAGACCACGAGAGTACGAACAATAATAGAAATAAGTGATACAAACATCACAAATTCTGTTGTGCTTTATAATTTTATACTTGTGTATTAACAATTTTATATATCAAATAAAATCAAGTAAAGCAATTTCAATAGTAATTATTTTAATTATATTATTATAGCAACTATTTCAATTAAATTAGTTTCATTTGCATGAGAAATTTTGAAATTATTGTCATTGTAATGTTAGGTTGTAAACTTTATTAGTTTCAATGTTTATATTTACATCTGAATGCAGCTTCACCAGATTCGTACTAGCAATTGTTGTATCATCAGAAAAATTTGAAAAATTTGTTCAAATAGTTATTACTAATAGTTATTTCAAATGATCGATGACGTATACTTATTTTTTATTAATTTTAATACTGTGATATTTCACTCAACTTCGAAACGTAAATATTTCGAGTAAGCTTTTGATAATAAATATTTAAAAAATTATTGTTACTTTCTAGGATTGTGGAATATTATTTTATGAAAATTTATTGAATTCTACATTTTTGTTTTGAAACGTAAGAAACTTTTCAAAATATTCACGAACAACTTGCAGGCTTTACAATTATTTAAGCAATATCAACCACTTTCACAAATGAGTCAAAGGCTTATTTGATAATATTTTCCGACTAGATCCTTTTTGTTTCCTTTTTACCATTTTTTATAGATTTCATTTTTTCCAAATTTCCAATAATAGTTTGTTTTTTGTAACATACATTATGAAATACTTCAAGTACATAAAATGATAAAGAATTAAACAAGATGGTTATATATAATTTTTGCACAATTTGCAATTTATTGAAATTTATTCTATGGATTTCAATTAATATTATAAATAGTATCCAACATTTCTATTTTTATTTGACATTAAGTTTTTTTTATAATAATTGCATGTTTATGGAGTAACTAATATATTATCATTGAATTCTTTACAGAATTATTATTCAACGGGACCTCGAAATCAGCAATCGAGGAATCTTAGTCACAGAAGTGGTCAACAAGCTGTAAATCAATCGCAAGTTGTTGGGATGCCTGGAGTAGGAAATTCAAGTGGACAACCAACAGCGATATATCCCCATCCTGGTATAGCAATGCAGCCTTCTACACTTTACGTACAAAGTCAAGTGTCCGGCCTTCATGCTTCTCCACATCAACAAAACGTTTATCCTATAAATAGTCAGATACCAATGCAGGTAAGCTTATATAAAATATTATGTTATATTAAACCGTTCCGGACCAGGACAATCGTAGTGGAACGTCACTCTCTGACGTCTCATCACTAACTCTATTGACCAAAAAAAAAATTAAAAAGGATATATTTTTAGGGCTCAAGTGTCTTTCTTTTCAATGGTTTAATCCAAATAAAAAAAAATTTTTTATTGTTGAAAAATGCAATTTGAAAACAAAATCCAAATGAACAACTTTTCAATAATGTTTTTTAAAATTAATTTTCCGAGTGGTTTTTGGCCTAGAATGAATCTGGAAGTGTGCCACTCTGTAGCATAAATGTTTACTAATTGAAATTTGTGTAAACATTTGTGCATTATACCAATTGTCTATTAAAAAATAAGTCACACTGAGAAAAAAAATTCATAAAAATTATAAAGTCATGTATGAAATAATTAAGCATATGCTAGTCGACCTCAAAAGGATGCTAATTGTTAATATTTTTGTTTGCTACCCTTTCAAAAATAAAAAAATGTTAAAATTGGATGGTAGGTTTCCGAGTTAGAGCAATTTTTTTTCCGCGCGACCAATTTGAAGTTATGCGTTCAGTTTTCGAGCGCATTCCCCCTACCACTGGGTGCTGAGGCCGTGTGGAGGCTGCGTCATGGTATTGCAATGATTTTTTCATATAAATAAAAAAATGAATAGGTTTCAAGTATAGGATATGTAAAACAAATTTCGTTCCTAATAAAGCTACAGAGACCATTGTGGGCTTAAAATATAATATGAATCATCTATAATTGAAAAAATAATATTGCAAATTGCTGTGAAAAAATTGCAGACATTTTTCAAAAATTAGGTTTTAGCATTTTTCAAAAAATAAAAAGTTGTCTCAAAAAAATCTGAAAAAATTTGAGAGTATTCCTTGATCAATTCTAAAACATTTTTATTCTTAGACAGTTTTTGTTTAATCCTTTAGTTTTCGAGAAAAAAAATAATGAACAAAAAATGCGATTTTATGCAATTTTTTGCATTTTTGCCGCCATTTTGGCGAAAAATACATATATGTAAAAATTTATCGTTAAACTTCAACAAATTTGTGCACCGATGGTTGATGATTTCACCATGAATTCATGCGATTTCTGCCTGAAAAAAAATCATAAAGTTTGAAAATGCGATTTTTTTCAGTTTTTTTTTGCAAAAAAATCGCCGTATCTTTTTTTTGCAATAGAAATTTTCAAATTTCGAGCCCAGATTCTTATTCAGCAGACAAAAATACATAAAGATTGATATGTCGGACCCAGTTATTTCTTCGTTGAGTACCTGAAATTCAGCTACGAAAAGTTAGTCTAAAATCGACCGTCTTGGTCGTTAATGGGTTAATGAACTTGTCCTTGAATTTATATTGCTATATATATGTATATGTTGTTAGAATGTTTGTCCAAAAGGTATGATCGTTTATCTCAACTGGTCCTTATAATAACTCTTGTCCTTACAATAACTAATTATCCTTGAATTTGCTGCACGTATGCTGTATACGTATATATTATACACTGCCCGTCAATCACTTTTGCCATGCTTACCTCAAAATTAGGCAAACTTGAAAGTTTTGTATCTCGGTCGGAAATCATCGTATCACAAAAAACCGCAGGACATTTTAAAGGTAATTGCAAAAGCTTCCATTTAAGACGTGCAGAAACTTAAAAATGAAAATATGTGTTTTTTACAGTAAAAAAACTGATTAAAAAAATTTCAATTTTTTTAACCTCGACTTAAATCAATGCCAATTTAGAACCAGGCGGTGGAGGGTAAATCGACCGGAGGGGTTCGGAGGGTAATATCTTTCCCTTTAAAATTAGCCCCCGCGGGGTTCTATCCGATGTTTTTTAACCGAGTTACGGCGTTTTTGTAAAAAAATAACCTTTTTTTTCAATCCTCAATTACTTCGACTTGCGTACGTTTCGGAAAAAAATGCCACGGAGAAAAAAGTTTCATTTCGTGCCCAAGAATACGAAATTAAAGTCAAAATAAAGAAATAGAGAAACAATTTTTTTTGGTTTTTTAGCGCATTAAAAAAATAAAGGAATTTAACTTTTTTTTACGCTTAGTTTTAGTTTTTTTGTGATTTACTATGTCCCTAGACATTTTAAAACGAAGCGTAAAAAAAAAAGTTAAATTCCTTTATTTTTTTCCACCGCCTGGTTCTAAATTGGCATTGATTTAAGTCGAGGTTAAAAAAATTGAAATTTTTTTAATTAGTTTTTTTACTGTAAAAAACACATATTTTCATTTTTAAGTCTCTGCACATCTTAAATGGAAGCTTTTGCAATTACCTTTAAAATGCCCTGCTGTTTTTTGTGATACGATGATTTCCGACCGAGATACAAAACTTTCAAGTTTGCCTAATTTTGAGGTAAGCATGGCAAAAGTGATTGACGGGCAGTGTATATGATAATACGTTTATTAACGTATTCGTAATTTCGTCACGCGTACACATTAATCACTGATATAAATATATATATATACTGATTTTAGAAATTAATCACAAAAATTGATTGATAAGAAAACTGAGATGAAAACCGATTATAAACAAGAAAGACAAATTTACAAAAGAACCGAATATAATCTGTATGACGTAATTCTGAAGAGGACAAAGCTGTGGCACGACTGTCCGTGATTAACTCTCGCACGGGAATGAATTATTAGACGTGGGTGATACAGTAATGCAGTGCGGGAGTGCCACCACGCGCCCACTAAACCGCCCAAGCGCGCCCAATGCGTACAACTAATGCGCGCGGCGCAATTATACATAATACTAATACACAATATTAATCAGGATTAAGAAAATTTAAAAGTTGTCACTTAACAGTTCATAACGTACTGAAATATGCAAATTTTTATTCTTGAAAATTACACTGATTCACAAACTAAATAATTATAATGATTTCGATTGTTTCATTGAATTTTGTTGACACGCATAGTATGAGATCCTAACTTGCCGTCAAATATTGTTTTTTTTTTCAGATAAGGCAAGATTTTAACTTGATAGAGCTTGTAATAGGCATAATTATATATATGGGTCAGTAACAAACCCTCATTAGGCATGAGAAGATAAATCACAATATCTAGAAAAATAAAACTTCCGGGCAAGCTTATTTAATAAAAGATATGTAAATCCGTTTTTCGATATGGTAATTTAAATGCTGCAAACTACGAAGATTGCTATTAAATAAAATTGTATTGAATGCTATTAAATGCTATTAACTGAAATTCCACAAGAAGAATAGCTGAAGGATTTATGACAACTTTATGAACACATGGTTTCTGCACGACGGCAATCCAGCTTTTATGCATTTCATATTTCTAATTTTTTAGATACAGCGTTTGTTAATCGGTGTAACGGCGGGCCTTATAATTCCAAAAAGGAATAACTTTTTTTTTTTAGTATTATAACAGAGAACGGAGTGATAAACATTGCCCATTAGCGATGGGAACCGAGTAGAGCCTAACAGGAAAATTTTCCTTGACAGTTTCCAAACGGCGATAAAATCTGTATTCCGCATTGATGTAAGCGTGCATTCTTTATTTTAGTGCGGACTTCCGCCCAACGCGCCCTCGTGCTTGCATACAAAGGGCAGGCAGCCTCTGAACACGTGATCAGAGGGGGCTAACATGTCGATAAGAGGTTTACTCCGAAATTAGTTATGAAATGATTATAAACTTTTTGAACGAACTTGGCTGCGAACGGTACTCGAGGAGCCATCTCGCGAGCCAAGGCCTGTACCCCAGCGACCGCGCTTCCGATTTTCTCCACGCCCCTGCTCCAGTCAGGGCCGAAAAACCAAGCGAGGGAAAATCGGAAGAGACAAGCCATTGCCTGCTCCATTCCTCTAGAAACCGAGAGGCTGAGAGAGGGACTCGCCACTCAAACACCCCCCGAGTATAAAAAGGGCTGTACATGATACAAAGGGAAGAGATTTTCTCGTGCTACCAGCGAAGAGCAGATCAAGCAGAACAAGCCAAGGGAGTTAACTAGCCAAGCAGCCAAACAAGTCAAGAAGCAGATCAAGCCTAGCAAAAAATCAACCAGTACAGAATAAGAACGCGCGTGTCCAGAAAAAGTGAAATTTTCAATAAAACAGTAAGCAAACAAAAAAACAATTTCTAATTCATCTATCTTTTCAATATCTTAGAAATAGCTCGTCACTGAAAATTTTTCTCTTTTCCGTATCTAGAGACTACTATTGATAGGCTCTAGGTACGACTTTGATAGAAAAACCGGGTACTACTATTGATAGGACCCAGGGTACTTCTCGTTCTTGGATTACAACAATTTGTTCAGTGACACTATTCCCTCTCAGTTAAAATAATTTTCGATTAGTGATCCCGCTAGTCTAGGCGAAAAATCGCACTTTTAGCGACAACGGAACCCTGAGACTGCTTCAAGCCTCAGGTGCACCTGAGATGTGTCGTTGCTACGACGTCACATCGGTAGATGGGACGAAGAGGTACGGTTGGATGGCCAGCTTGAACATCAGATTTGACGCCTCTGGATTATTTTTACTGGTGCTATCTAAAAGACCGAATGTTCGACACTGAAACCCAACCCCCGAATAAGGATAAAGTATTGAACAGAAATCGGCAAATGTTACTTCTGAAATGATCAAAAATGCTGTTGCTGATTTCTACCATCAATTACCTTACTGTTAAGAAGAACGTGGTGAACAATTTGAATACTTAAAATAAAAATATTGTGCTTGAGAATATTACTTATTCATTTATATATTTTAATATTTTATTTTACTTTTGTTTACATTTTTTTGACTTACATATTCTTTTCATTTACTACGTCCACATCGTTGTTTCTGGGTAATGCTAAATGTAAAAAACAAATTTATTTCAAATTAAACTAAATTTCAGCAAAACTTCATAGTCACGGTTTTACCTACGACCTGAATATATTTTTAAATGTAAAATTTTTCGTTCGTTCAATTGCCGAAGTCAAAAAAAGGTTTTCTCATTAAAA